AATAAAGAATAGGCTTTTGTTTTTATCCGTAAGTATTTTTTTCTCGATGCTACAAATGCACTTTTTCAAGAAAAGTGCTTAAAACAATATTAATCCATCTTGCTCCATTTTAGAAATAGTGTTTCACTATACTGTGTTATATACAAAGGAAACCTAATGAAACAGGCCATTTTTGATTAAAAAGTCAGCAAAATTAAGTATAACTATATTAAATAATACAGGGCTCAAAATTGTTACTTTTATATATTCCTGGCAATATCCACGTTCGTCACACGGGTAATAAAAGAAATCTCTTTTCATACAAAATTTAAAACTTTCAAAAAAAGTGCAAGTCACTGATATAAAAGTAAAAGGCCACTCAAGGAAGCAACGATATATGTGTGGTATGTTATAATGAGTACCTAATAGAATCTCTATGAAATACACTGTAAATTAAGTACAAGAAACCTCAACGTTGATTTATGTAGACTTTATTTTAGTAGAAGGGCTTTCAACTAATCAAACACGATCATATTCTTCAGCTGCAACTAACAAGTACTATAAATAGAGGCACAGACTGACGAAATTTCTGACACGTACCAGAACCATGACGCCCACTGTGATAAAGAGAAAATAATAAAATGAAATAAAGTAAATCGTGCCATCCAGAAAGGATGGAGGAGGAAGAGATAAATTAGAATTTTGAGTCATTCTCTATAATAAAGAAGTTATTATAAATAAAGAAAAATCCAAGGAAATTTTATTCAACAAGCGAGGAAAAAATTTTTAAATAAATCTGGCAAAAGCAAAACTGGTTTATAATCCAACGTATAAATATATATGTTAGTCTATTGGTTTACTAATAGATTTATTTATTTCCTTTTTTCGAACGTAAGACTCGTGTTCTCTGGTGAGAAGTTTTAAAGCTCAGCTTATTTGCCCAATGTGTAGCTCAAGCCACAGTAACAAGGATTGCTCTAAATTATTCAAGAATTCATATCAGTTAAAAGGTCTTTAAAAACAGAATTGTATATTTTATTGACAGGAGAAAAATTAAAGTTATATTTCTATGAAATACATGCAAATTTTCAATTGATAAAGACAAAGAAAGGAATGATGACTTTATGACTTTATTATTATTATTGATTTTAATAGAAGAGCTTGTTTTTAGACATTTTTAGACTTTTTAGACTACTTGGCCAACAAGCTGCAGCTCTTTTGTTGTGCATCACAGTGATTAAAATAATAAACATCAGTGCTTATGAAAATGTATATCGTTAGTCGTAATATCACTACAAAGTATCTATAAAATTCTAATCCAATGATAGATGCGTTAACAGCCCACGGTTAATGAATGCTATCACATGCAGAAACCACTTTTTAATGGCGTAATTTCAACTTAAAAATGCACTACTTAATTTGCTCATAATCCTTTTTTTACATCATTATTTTCTTTAGATCTGCATACATTTTGTTCTTAAAATATTTTATTTTTATAAATAAAATTTGCAGCATATCTCTTAGTAAATCTTGAGTAGTTTAACAAAGGATAATCTTTTTATTATTTATCCTTTCTTGTCCTGGAATATCCTCAGGGATTGGTGAACAATAGCAACATATGGTATTGACAAAAATTATTATATTTTTATTAGTTTTTTTTCATCTTGTCAGGAAAAAATATATAGTACTTTAAAATTTTACTTTGATAGTGTTTTTTAATGCATAAACATTTCGCTTTTTTGTTTCGACCATCTGACCTTTTGTAGACTTGAATTGATTGGCATATTAAAATTATGTTCATGGGCTCAGCAGAAAATCTATAAATGAAGCTAATTAATTTACAGTGTGATATAACCCTCATTCGAAGATTTGAACGTACGGATTCTATTAACGTTTTTGTTCGTACACATCAAAAATTAAATAAGCTCATCTACGGATTTTTGCACTAAGAATTAATCTATTCATTTAAAAACAGTTACATGTGAAAAGCTTTGGTTCACAGTTGAAAATTAATAAGAAGAGAACTCTTTTAACCAAAGAAAATTATAATCCGTGATGAAGATAAATTCCAGTTATTTCTGTCAAAGCTACAACCATCAGAATCGAAATATCATCAAATATCAAAGTTTTGTAGGAACTAAAAACGTTTACAATTATTTTACATCTAAACATATGTTATTTTTACTTCTGCGTCGAAAATGAACGAGAGAAAGGGTCTAAGTTGTCATAATTTATTCTCATTCCCTTGGAAAAGTTTCTGGAAAAACTTCGAAAATTTTCATAATTTATTTATTTTTAGTTTAAATTAAAGTACGTAATTAAATAATTAATTAAACATGTTAGAATTATTTGAAATAAATGTCAGTCTAAACATATAATGTTTTACTGTCGGTGCATTTTAATTACGAAGTATAGCCAACAAAAATTTCTTGCAGATAATGAACTTTAGATAGAAAATTTACATAAGTTTTAACTTTTTTCCTTTGCTATATTATTATTATTGTTTATGTATGCTTTGTAAAATTTAGAAGGCAAAATTTTAAATTTATTTTAACTAGTTTTTTTCTATAAATTAAAAATCTTGCATTTTTGTTTTTAAAGTAAGGAAATCTAGCATGTGAACTGTTTTCAGATCGTGTATTCGGCCCGGAAGCAGTTTGTGTTTCAGACCACTGCTTTAAACTAAATTAGAATGCAGTTTTGTTAAAAAATTGGTTCATTACAAAGCAATAATAAAGGGTAAGAAAGGAGGAAAGTTTCAATTATTTTCATTATTAAATAATAATAGTGAAAGATTAAATACTTTCTGTCAAGTTTCCTAGAAATTTGCTTAATAACAAAACGATTTCTTTTGCACTACATTATTGCTACTAAAAAGTTTATTTTTCTGTAATCTAAGAGTTGGTGTAAAGTTTCATTTAAAATACGGACTAAAGTGCATGTAGATTTACTAAAGACTTAATTTACTCTATAAGTCTACTACGGAAGATATCGATTTATATTTCCTAACTTCTTTTTGTTTCTATAAAGGTAAAAGCCCTTTAAGAATACGTAAAGGCTAAACGTAACTATCGAGTGATATTAAAAGACTAATTACCAAATTTTTATTCCCTCCATTTCTCAGTATTTATTTGCTTTTAGAATCCGGCCTGTATATCCTCTTCGATCATCACGGAGAACAAATTTGATTCATGACTAAGAACATAAGCCAAAGAGCAAGCCACAGTGTGATAGACCGCCAGTCCTCCTAAATTTAGGAAAGCTAAGTAACTTAAGCTACTAAGCTTAAGTTAGGAAGGCCACAGAAATAATGCTAATTTTTTTTTCGTATGAAAGTACTTAGAAATTCATTTCCTAATGTCACAAATTCCCTATTGTATTTTACAGAGATATTTTGAGGTAACAGAAAGATGTTCTAAGATGTCTTAAAAGGACTAAGCAGCAATCTGATCTGACCTGAAGCAGTCAGACCGAGAACTGGTTACTTCAGGTCTGGTCAGGTTGGATGACAGTGGACACCGAATATTTAACCAAAGGTTATGTAGGTATAGCCCAACTTTAGTAGTTATTTAGACCGCAACAAACTATGGCTCAACAAAGGACCCGCCGAATACCTTGAAAAATCTTTTGTGGCTAGTGCTTTTCGCATTTGCAGAAAACGCAGGACAGTTGGTGGCTTTCGCACTTACAACGATTTAGGACAGTTGCTGCTTTTCGTACTTACACAAATTTAGAGCAGCTAGTGCTTTTTGTACTTACATAAATTTAGAACAAGTGAGGACCTTCGCACCTATAAAAATTTACAATTAACAAATGTACGATAATTCATGTACACTTATAAATGTACGATAATTTGAACAAAATATTTATTTATTGCAAAATATTTGTACATAATATCCATCATTTATTAGTTCTAAGCAAGGATTTTAATGCAAAAAAAAAAAGGTTTTATGTGAAATTTCTATATTGCAAAGTTCTTTGTAAAATGTACATTTCCCTCTTCCATGATAGCGCAACTATCTCACTTCACTGTTTTTAAAAATAAGTATCTTATTGGAAATTTATTTCTTTACTTAACTGAATTGGCACTTATGACCTTTTGTTCATTTCCTAATTTGAAATTCAGATTGAATTGTCGGTCCATAAAGAAATTCCTACCAGATGAAGCTAGGATAGAAGATGCTAAAGATAAATAATCTACTGGAAAAACATCTAAAGGGATTTTTCGTATTGGTAAATGTTCTAGAATGAGTGTGTAAATGTAGAAATTTTCCTACTTCCCGAAAGTAATATAAGCAAACTTCAAGCCAGATAATATCAATTCAAAATTTATATGTTTTTTTAACTAGTACGAAATCCCGGCTTAAAAACCTATCAGATAGTGAAACTAAAGCTCAAGAATATTAGCAATACATTATAATGTGTGAAAGTTTACAAATGCAATAAAATTTCTGTATTATAAATGCAACGTCTTCTTGGTGGGAGTGCTTTCTTTCTTTTACATAATTGAAAAATAAAAACATGTTGTATTCTTTGAACTACAGAATTTTAAAAAGTAGGTCTTTACATTTATAATATATGGAATTTATTGTGCACCGAAACTTAACATTAGAATAACTTATTCCTGATATCCTTTTCTTTATTATCTTTTTTAGATGAACTATTAAAATTAAGATTTTATTAATGAATAAAATGAGTGAATATGAGTTGGTATACTTTTCCTCTGGTTCGGGGAGAAGGAAAATGAGTCTATTTAACAAAAGGACAAATAGGAATTTTCTTTTTTCAATTAAAACATTCATTTCAAGCTTTCCCTCAATATTATGCAAACGAATTTGCAATAGCAATAGGTAAAAAGGTTATTTTCCAAATAATCAGTTTCAAGAATTCGGAGTATGTTACTTAATCATTTTATTGTAATATATGCTGTTTATGTAATATAGCTGTTTATATAGCAGTGAGTGAAACTGATCGTTAAAGCACCTTCAAAACTTTTTAATAAAAAACCTCTTCTATTGCAGATTATTTCTATCCTGAAATGATACCTGAGCCCGATTATAGTGAATCAGAAGAGGAGGAAGATGAATCCGATGAAGAGAAATCTACAAGTGTGGAACGCCTAAGGGATATGGAAGAAGAAGACGAAGATGCAGAAGACGTGAAGAAAAGAAGAGCTATCCCTCCATCGAAATCCGGTATGTTATTGTATTTAGTGTACCAAATAGCGCTCGGTCATCTGTTTATAAATGCCAGTAATAAGAGCAGGTTATCAGTACATTTTTGTTTGTCTATTTAATAAACTATCACCCATTTATACCGCAGCGTCATTTGTGTCAACAAAATTTCAGTCAATACAATCCATTAATTTCCTTGCACTGATAGATGAAATTATATATATGAACAATTTTAATCATAAAACATAATAACAGTAGATCAGTTATTGATTTCATATATTCCTAGGTGGTCATCATAAATTTAAAAATAATTTTCTCATCTAAAAGTTCGTAAATATTGTGTGCAAGACAGATGACGATTCGAAGAATAGCATAGAACAATGAGATTTTGGAAAAGAAATTAACTTAACTGCAATGTATTTTCTCTCTCTTTATCGCGTACCTTCATGGAGTAATTAGAAGCACGTTCGACTAGCAATCTGGATGTCCGGAGTTTGAAAAGATATTTGTTTTTAACTTTTCCAACTTTGACAAACCTAATATCTTAACAGATGCCATCTTAATGTGAGAGAAAATGTAGGATATATTTCCCTGATTGTAGTGTGCCTTCCTGGTGTAACTGGAAGCACGTCCGGCTAGCTATCGGAAAATCAGGAGCTCGAGAGCCGGAAAAGGCATTGTGCATTTTTCATGTTTTACACTCAGATAAGTATCTAATGATTCTACATAATAACCGAAATCTATCCAATTTAAAAAAAGAGTCATTTATTGATTTCGTTACTTAAAGAAGAGTAAGTATACCATTGTATTTGTAAACAGAGTCCCAAAAAGAGGCCGAATTTAATATGCCCAACAAAATACTTTATTTTTAAAAAGTGGAAAATACTTTTACATATTTACAAGAGAGATATGTTTCGATTTAAGAATGAAAAATAATGTCTGGCATATGTTCGCCATGACTTGATCGGCAGCGCTGCACTCTTTTGCACTTTATTACATATCTGCCGACTGAAGGGGCTAATGATACACTGAATTTACTCTTTAAGTTCTTCTGTCGTTGATCTTGCTAAGATTCTAGCTCGAATTTTGGGGCATTTTTTTTTTCAATAACGCAGTCATGTACAGTAGCGACGTTTTCAACATACCGGCTAGATCAAGAACGTGGTGATTTAATGTATGCTGTCGATCCTGGGGTAATCAAATTTCTTTATGCGTTTTTCTTTGAACCTGCGAATTGTTGCTTCATTAGGTGTACTTCAATTTCAAAGATTGCTTGATTCCAAAGATTCCTTTTAGTCTGTGCATGGCACTCACCAATCTTGAAATAAGTTTTCGCAGTCAAAATTTGCTGTTCCTTTGCATAGCAGTCCACGCTTACAAAGCTGCGAAATGACAGTGATGAAACACCAGTATTTCAGGTCCAATCAAACTCGACATTCTTAAATCGGAGCATTTGTATGTTTTAAGTGTGTAAAAATAAATTTTCTAAACATAAATTATTTTAGCAGCATATTCAGTCCGAAGATACTGTTGAGACACCCTGCATATTGCATCTCTACCAAGCAATATGACAACATATTGAAATTTAACTTTAACTAGTCTTAGAAAAAGATAGAAGATGCTAAAGATAAATAAACTACTGGAAAAACATCTAAAGGGATTTTCGTATTGGTAAATGTTCTAGAATGAGTGTGTAAATGTAGAAATTTTCCTACTTCCCGAAAGCACCTAAAAGTATTTCGCTGGAAGTTATTTCCTAAATGCTGCGAATTACCACCTGACTACAATCAGTTTGTACAAGCAATCTTTAAAATTATGCTGAGTTTATTTGTCCACTTCAGGCAAATGGCTTTTACTGTCAGCAAATTACTGTAGAAGCGGAGAGCTTAACCAACTTGGACGACAGCGGGAATCGATACGACCTCCGATCAGTTACTATGTCTTTCCAAACAGATCGGCTTAGCTCTTAAGCATAGCAAAACGGTTGTTCTCTGAGTAAAGCACGATTTGCAGTAAACGTTGGCTAGCTTTTAAACTCTTACGTGTACTTTATTTTGTCTAAATGTCTGATTTGAGAGAATTTATGTAAACATGAATCAAAGAGCAAATAGAGCAATGTTTAATTAAGCTTACTTGTTCATAAAACTTAAACTAATTGCACAACAATTATTAAAAAAAAGTACGTCTCTATTATAAGGAAGCAAGCAGGAAGGTTTCTGTGTCAAGGCTTGTATATATCGTAAATCAAATGAAAACGAAAACAAGTGAGGAATTTTTGAAAATGATTTACTTAACGTATTATTTCATATGAACCTTTTTTATTATTTATGTTATATTTTTGACCTAATATGAACCTTTTTTTATTGTCATCATCATACTTTGAGAAGCTCTTTATTATTGACCAAAAGTTAACAGTTTTTGATTTTGTCAAAAATTCCTTAAGTGTAATAAAAAGTTAACATGAATCATATTTTGAAATATATTGCTTCTTAAATAAAAAAAACACACGTCAGACCATCATTTGAAATACCTTCAGCGTGCAATTAAAATCAACACTAATATCAAATTTTTCTATTTTTTATTCTAAAAATTATGTTTATTTGTTTATAAAGCAACTGACTAAGAAAATCATCTACCTCCTTCAGAGTTTCAATTATTAGAATGAGTTATTTTTGACTTAACGTTTAAGAAGGTCAATGAATTGCTTTTTAAGTTTTATAACCCTTGCAGAGTCCAGGTGGGTTAACTTTTATCTGGATACAGGATTAGCAGGAAACTACACAGAAGAAAGGTTCAAACCCTTTATTAACTCTTTGCAATGCGTCAACTCGACGCTCACAAACTTCGCCTCTATTGGGGCGGTAACTGAAACTCAGGTAATTGAAAAATAATAGTTAATATGTTTAAAAAGTGCTAAACTAACCTACAGGGATCAGCGAGATTCCGAACCAACCCCCTTCTAAGCTAATGGCAGCAAAGCAATGCAACCTAAGCCACTTGAACTAGCAATGAGCAAACGTACTTACAGCAGAGAAGGCAGCTAGAGCCTAACTTCCTCTTTCTCCTACCGAAACTCGGCTTTTAACTACACTCATGTTCATCAATTAATAATAATGCAAAATCAGGCAAAGGAAGAGTTAGAAGCAAAACAAATTTGACTTATTTGTAAAGCTAATTTATTAAACAAAAGGTAAAGAGCAAAAAAAGATGTTATATGTTTGATATTATTAAAAAAATTAGCGATTTTTTCTCCCTGGAGCATATTACAAAAACACCTATTTACCAAAAACCAATATTACATGGTAGGTATGATTGTTAATACATTGTATGTCTCTCAGACGATGCAATACAGTCCGTACAACGCCTAGGCATGCTGAGTATCAAATTATCGATCGGATCTTGGGTGATATTAATATTACACCACTCAAAAAGCAATGCTCTCTGAAGTTCCGGTAGACATGTAGGAGGAGGTTGACGGGCTGCAACTCGTCAGCCAAGCATGTCCCACACGTGATCTACTGGATTCAAGTCCGGTGAGAATGCTGGCCAGTCCATACGGGTGATATCCTTCGATTGAAGGCATTCGCTTACGATGTTTGCACGATGAGGACGGGCGTTGTCATCCATAAACACAAATTGTGCGCCCATGGCGCCCCGAAAAAAACGTACATGTTGTTCCAGAATGACGTCCCGATAGATTTGGCTTGTCATGGTTCCAATTTGAACATGCAGGTCAGTTCTGGAACCCAGAATAATTCCACCCCAAACGAGCACTCCTGCACCACCGTAACGGTGTCGTTCAATGATGTTTTCTTGGTGGTAACGGGTACCTGAGCTCTCCATTTTGAAAGTCCGGCGAGAATCAGACTGCAAGCTAAACCTTGACTCGTCGGAAGACATCACACAAGCCCACTGTTGCGGTGTCCACAATGCATGCTCTCTACTCCAGACTAACCGCAGCGACAGTGAGTTGCAGTAAGTGGAACGCGTCCGACAGGTCTACGAGCATATAGACCAATCTGCCCTAAGCGTCTGTACACGGTCTGCCTTGAAATTGTCGTACCAGTGGCTGAAGAGAGCTGACGAGACAGGTCTGAGTGTGTGCTCCGCCTGTTTCTTTTGGCAGTAGCTGCCAAATACCGGTCCTCATTCGGCGTTTTAACTCAGGGGCGACCTGTTCTGTAACGTCTACTCACATTACCACCATCTTGGAATCGTTGCCAAAGCCTGGAGATAACACTCTGGGCAATTCCAAGTTCGTCTGATACTTCCAGTTGGGTACGCCCACATTCTAGACGGCCGATAATTCCCCCGCGTAAAAAATCAACCAAATGCGTCCTTTGTGTCATAAGTATTCGGTTATTGCACTGAAATGCTTATAAAGCGCTTGCGAACAATTTTACTTCTTTGCCTGTATTAATTATATATCACTCTCTTATACTCTCGTTATTGCGACGTACCATCGGTGTCATCTGGTTACTTCCTGAAATTTGCATATAATTCTTGAAGATGTGTGTAGTGATTTTACAGGTGATATATTTATTTTAGAGTTCGATTTCCGCGTGACTCCGAATTATCCTTAATTTATGGACATGAGTGTACTTCCAACAACATAGAAAATTTGCATGCGTTCACGCGCGCTACAGCATTTAACTATTCTGCAACTTACAATTAGGAAAATGAAGGCTTATAGAAAAGTCTGAACTTAAAATTTAAAATGTTAGTTAAAATAAATATACTACGCCCTGAATACGTTATTTTCTATTTATACCTTCATAAATGCATTCTGTTCACTTATTGGTCTGTTATATTGAAAAATATTCAATATAACACAGAAACCTTCCTGCTGTTATATTGAATAACCCCTAAGACCAAAAGAGGTGGCCATTTTATTGTGGAGGCAAGTAATAGTTGTCCACCGTTGCCTCCTATTGAAGGAACGGACACTTACAACCATGGCTTCTCCGGGATTCGAACCTGGGCCTTTCGGTACCGTAATAGGTTCCCATACCACTATAACG